CAATGTAACCGCCGCCGGGCTGGATGAGGCCACCGACGAGGAGGATCTCGAAGAGGGCATCTGCATACTTGAGGAATTCGAGGGTAGAGCCTGCCTGGACGAGTTTTGTTGCAAACGAGTCAAAGTCTGATTCTGGGACGGTTTCGAGGTGCTTGTAGAGCTGGTCTCTGAAGATGGTGGGCTCGTGCTTGGCCTGTGCCTTGACGGCACCTTTCCGGGCTGGCGAATGCAAGTTGTGTCGAGAATGTTGAAGTGATTTCGAGATTGCAAGATTTGGATGGAATAGACGAGTCGGTGAGCATGGTGAAAAGCAAGGGGAGAAGATTACTAGCCTTTGATTCTGACGCCTTGAAGCGAGGGCTTGGTTGCCGTGGGCTGGCTAGACATGCAACAAGGTAAAAAGAAGGAAGGAAAAGCCGTCTGGACGCGTGACAGAGCCAGGCCTTTCTTACACCCAAAGCACTGGTTTGGAGAAATTTACAGCCTTGCCTTGCCTCCAACTGCCATGCCTTGTTCGCAAGTCCTTCAATTGGCCACCCAGAGTGCTGCTTTGCCCGCAGGATAAATGCGGACACATGATTACTATTGTTCAGCGCTTTGGCCCGACCTTCTTGGCTTTGACCCCCACAACCACATACTTAAACAGCTTCATTCCACAACTTTCGCGCACCGCTTCTTTCCACAGCACCACGAGATACCATATAAACACCCTCCTCGTTCCATATTCTCGCACCGTTCAATGCCAGGATTCTCCGATTCCCCCAATGCCCGCTCCAAATCGATCACCACCGCCGAGCTTGATACATACGGTGTACGTTGGACTGTCTGGCTTCCTACTTCACCTTACCCTTCTTCCAGGTCCTTAACCGGCATGCAACCAAGAACTCCGCATACCAGGTCGGCATCTCCGAAGACAAGGGCACCCGGAGAACTATGGAGGATGCCCACTCGTTCGTCGTAGACTTTGGTGGCGTCCGGGGCCAGGGCTTCTTTGCAGTGTTCGACGGACATGCCGGCAAGCACGCTGCAGAGTGGTGCGGCGCCCATTTCCACGAGGTACGTCATCCCCGCTCCTGTGCGCTCGCGCCACTCAAGCGTGCGTAGTATCTCCTGTCATGCATGAAGCGCCACAACTCCATGCCCATCCCGGATGTCCTCAATCAGACCTTTCATGACGTCGACGAGAGCCTCTCCCGGATGTGTGAGGAATCCGCCGGCAAAATACATTCCGGGTGCACTGCGGTCACTGCTTTCCTCCGGATCGAGGATGCAGACGGCCACCAATCCTTTCTCCCTTCCTCCCAGGACAGCGATGATCTTGGGAGCATCAGCAGCAATGAGAGCACCGGCAGCCCGTCCGGCGATGAGGGCAACAAGTCTACGCCGAAGAAAAAATCCCGCCGCTCCCTGACCAGCGGACGCCTCCGGAATGCGTTCAAGAGTCTGGCAAGCGGCTCCGGCTCCCCGAAAACCCCGCGCTCCCAATCTCCCGCATCTGCATCGGGCAAATTCACAGCAGAAGGTGCCAGCATTGTCATCCCTCCCTCTGCCGCAAGACGTGTGCTCTACAGCGCCAATGCCGGCGACGCACGAGGCGTGTTGTGTCGCGCAGGCAAGGCTGTGCGCCTCACCTACGATCACAAGGGATCGGACAAGCAGGAGGCCAAGCGGATAACAGACGCGGGCGGATTTGTGATGAGTGGACGGGTGAATGGCGTCTTGGCCGTGACGCGAAGTCTTGGCGACTCTTCGATGAAGGAGTTTGTCGTCGGAGCACCGTACACAACTGAAACGGAACTCTGTGACGAGGACGAGTTTCTGATTCTGGCCTGCGACGGGGTAAGCTCGCCTCATTTCTACTCCGGGCTTGACTAACTGCGACGCAGCTTTGGGATGTGACGAATGACCAGACCGCCGTGGACCTGATACGCGAGACTGACGATGCGCAAGTCGCGAGCCAAATGCTGCTGAAAGATGCAATTGCCAACCACACGTCGGACAACATTACGGTCCTCGTTGTGCGGTTCAAGAACAGCAGCGCCTAAACGAATTTGTACTGTAATTTGTGTATTCACTTCGGGTTCTTCCTTTTGTAGTGTACAGCATAATACGACTGTGACGTGATGGGATTCAACATGTCAGGATTGGGAAGTTAAGATCGAGAATCCAGCGCCCAAGCGAATAGCTTTCACTCGTACCACCATGTCATGGCCTCAGCAGCAGCAGCAGTATCCCCCTTATGAATTCCAGTCTGGACCGGCGCCGGGCCCAACGCCCCAATACGCCCCCCAATATGCACCTCCGCCTGGCCCCCCTCAGCCGTTTTACAGCGACACCAAGTCTCCGTATGAGAACGATCGCTTCAAGCCCAAGAAAAGAATAAATGACCCCATTGTACTCGTGATTTTTGTACTCCAAGTGCGTTTCTACCGCCACCTATACACGCGCCGGCCTCATGTACCCCTCAGTTCCTTGGTTTTGCCGCCCTATCTGGCATTGTCATCTCTTCCTGGGTGAAGGATGGCGGGCTCGGAGGCGGACTTGGCAAGTCCAAAGCCGGAACCTCCATTACACTCAACCAGAGCACTGTGTACCTCCTGCTCCTCGTAACCGCCGCCGCGGTGGTGCTCTCCACTATCTACCTCATGCTCGTCCGCGCATTCACGAAAATCATCATGCACATCACGCTAATTTTGTCCATAATCCTGAACATGTGTGTTACATTCTCGTATCGTCATGCAACCTCTCATTACAACTGTCTTCCAGTGCAATTTGCGGTAGGCTTCCATCTGCCATTTCTCGCGCCGTACTGAGCAGTTTCTCAAAGTCTATTACTGGCTGACGAAATACTACTGTGGGTGTCTTCAATCTTTGCTGTGGCCGACTTGACGCGTCCCCGCAGCTGGCGCCATAATGTTTGCTACATGTATCAAAGACGCGTTCCATTTGATTAACATCGTGGCAGTTTCACCATTATAGCTTTATTCTCCATTCTATCTTATTATGGGTACGTCCTGGGGGATTTGAATGTTCTTAGGTTAACACAGCTTCAAGTTTCAAATCTCGCATTCCACTGGCGTCACTGCTCCTGCAAGTCGTCATGGACGTCAGCAAGCATCACAAATCCGTCTATGTTGTGGCTTTTTTGGCATTAATTTGGCAAGCCATTCTGGCCGTGTGAGTCTATCCTAAATTCAACATGCTTGCATTTGCTCATGTCTTGGGCAGGTGGTTCACCTTTACTGCAATCGCCACGTAAGAATAGCGCCCCTTTCCATAAACTCGTTACTCAAGCTTCAGCGGTGTAGGTATACTAAATGGACCCCCGGGAACCCTGGTCAGTATGCCATTTTCTGCCAAGGCAGCCTTGCTCATTATTATTTCCTAGGCTGCGAAACAACTTCCTGCTCTTCCGGAAAAGTGGCCGGCCTGATTTTCTTTGAGGTATTCTCCTTCCTCTGGTCATCACAGGTGGTCGGAAATGTCGCTCTTGCAACCCTGGCCGGAGGTGCGCTATGTACGATCCACATTCCTCGAGTGGTATTCATTGATGCAAGGCCCGTACGGTTGCTGGTACTACTTCGGTCCTCGTGGGGAAGGGAACATGGTACGGCCTCTCGAACAAGCAGCCACTTGCCTTGCTGAACATAGCCAACAGCCCAAACACCCAACTCTGAGCGCCTTTGGTCGTGCCTCGACCTTGTCTCTGGGCTCGATCGCTTTCGGGTCTCTGATCGTAACCTTGCTCGAGCTTCTGAAAATGGTGCTGCATGCTGCTCAGAACTCGGCCAACGCCGATGGGCACCGTAAGTGACATGAGCTTGTTTCCTCATTCCTGTTCACGCCTTTCGCAGCTGTCGAGGCATGTCTGGCATGCTGCGCTGCATGCTTCGTGGGCATCATAGAAAGTCTTGTGGAATACTTTAACCGGTGCGGTGGTCAACTCCTTATTTATCATCAGAATTGACGTTGCCTAGCTATGCATACATCGAGATTGGTCAGCTGCCCGTTTTTCTTGTGAGGGTTCCGACTTGATATTCTTTGATTTTATAGCTCTCTACGGGAAACCGTACATAGCGGCCGCGAAGGACACCTGGAGGCGCGTTAACCAACGCTTCTTGTATCCCGCATTCTGATTGTCGGCGCAGGCTGCTTGCAGATCGCGGTGTCTCGGCCATCGTAAATGATTCATTAGTCGGAATGAGTAAGACTGATCAAGATAATTTATCCTGATACTGACTTCGCAAAGCATTAACGTGGGGCGGGTATGCTGTTGGCATGCTTTCTTCTCTGTTCGCTTACTTGTATCTGCGCCGTGGGTAACTTTCATACCATGGCGATACACCGAGACTGACGCTACTGCAGTCACCTCACCCGCATACAACGCGGATGGCAACTATACCGCACCCGTGATATTGTTCGCGTTCCTCATCGGACTGCAATGCTGTGAGTTCAATCGGGGTTGTTGGGTTGCCGCAGCTGAGGTTTTGTAGCATTGACTCTGTCGTCCGCCATTGAGGCTGGTGTATCAACAATGTGAGATCTCATTATAGAAGTTATAATCCGCGGCTGATGAAAATTGTCGCTCGCAGTTTTGTCGGTCTTGGCGAAGACCCTCAGGTTCTCGCGATACGCGCTCCGGCGTTGTTTGGAGTGAGTTTCCATTTAGTCTAACAATCAATGGTCTAAGCATCCCGTCAGTTGATTGCACAGACGTACCCAGAGGTTGTGCGAGCAGTAGTGTAGTTAGTTGGTGTGTAATCGGATGGTGTTACTGTAATACAAGAGATTTCTCTTTGCAAACCCCACCGCTCCAAATATCGATGCAAAATTAGTCTCGGAAAAGCCCATACTCTCATGACATCCCAATTTGGGAACCCTCTCATGCCCTCTCATGCTAATGCAAAATGTGTGTGTTGGAAAGTACTTGAGCCTTGTGTACGAGCACTCCAGTAAGTCTGTAGTAGCTCATATGGCTTAGTTACTGGCAGCCCTCCAACGTCTCTGTAGTATAGTGGTTAGTATGCTCGCTTGTGGCGCGATCGACACCGGTTCGATTCCGGTCGGGGACATTTTTTGTTATTTTCTGGTGCCTCAAAGATTGCGATTTCCGTCTGATCTTAAATGTCAGAAAACAGAACGCCTTTCATCAAGAAATCAAAGGTCTACGTCGACGAAATGTGACAATATTGGCCTTGTCGTCCTTTGTCTTTGTCTGTGCGTCAAACTATGACGTTGTTTTGCCAGGCCTTTGGCGAAATCCGCGCAGCACTGATTCTCACAATTGCACGACCTTCTTCCTGAACCATGCGAAAAACCTCTTACGCCCTCACCGCTGTTGCGGTGATTTTTACGACTGTCTTGACTGTTCTCTCTCTTACTCGCATTGACTGGTATGCGATCAACAGCCCATTGAACGCGCTCTAATATGAGGCCGCAACTTCTAGGGTTGTAGCCAGGTATTCAAGCGAAGCTCTCAACGCAAGCTACGAGGCAAAGTATGGCCTCTCGACCGTCTGCACACGCTTGGTGGTCCGGCTGCCCGGTGGTGGCTCCACGAGGTTCGAAGACTATGAATGCCGCAAGTTCCCGGCTCGGAACGCGGATAACTGTGAAGAAGAAAACCAGTTCTTCTGCGCCGCATGGACGAGGTAAGTCTCAGCGCCAGAATTTGGAATGCGCGGGGATTCAGCCTGCCTCAGTGCTGGTTATGCGGTTGAACTGGCGATTGGCTTCGGGGCTCTCTCGTTAGTTACGATACTGGTAGGTGTGAGTACACACTCTAGGTGAGTCAGGCAGTATTGGGGGCATCTACCGGCATTTATTCTCCCTTCCCCAGGCGACGCAGAATATGGCGGGCTGTGGCTGGTCTCGTCGGCCTTCATTCTTCGCTTCAACTGTTGGCCTTCGCTCTTGTCGTCGATCTCTATCGCACTTCGCGCTTCCCCACATTCGAAGACGCCAAGCTCGGTCGGTACCCTCCAACGACGTTGCCATTAATTTTGCCTAACAACATAGCAGGTCCAGCCCTAATTTTCAACGCCGTTGCTTGGGTCTTCGGGGTCATCACCGCAATATCGGTCATCGTTACGGGTATGGCTGCGGATCGTGGAAAACGGTGGGCAGCTGGGAACAGGGCATACCAGCCCATTGACGGATAATTGATACACCCTACATAGGATGTACAATACACGATGTACATCTCAAGGCATTCCATTTCTCATGTTCTCGAACCGACTCCTCTCGTAATGCAGCCAGTTGTGGCTGCGATCCGACTCGCCCATTGCCTCTTGAATGACCTTGACCAAGCTTCGGCCAGGTTGGGGTTCTTTGCCAGGCCCGCCCTCCATACCCTCCCGATCGCTTCCTTTGTCTCCACTGAGCTCCCAAACCATTGCACCGCCAAGGCCTTCGTTGCGAATCCACTCTCCTTTCCACTTGGCGACTTCCTCCGTGTCGAAGCTGATCATCTCTTTCTTTTCGTAGTCGTACGTCCAACTCGCCATAGCCTTCTCGTCGCGGAACACATGCGAACCCGGGAGGGGAAGCGCTCTGTAGTCATAGACGCCTTGCTCCCAGCTTCCTGGTCCAATTCTGTGTCTCGTGAATATCATGGTTCAATAACAAATTCAAGATTCCTACCCCGAGAAGGGCTTTCCAGGACCCTCCGTGTTCATGAAGGATCGCCCGTAAAGAGGTACGCCGAGTATGATCTTGGACCGCTCCACACCTTCGTGACTGAGGATGAGAACTGTGGAAATAAAGTCTGTAGAGCGACTGACCTTGTGATATATACCAATGGATCGAGGTCGATGCACTAATAGGCCCGCCATAGATATTAGCTTGATGGTTGGCTATGCTGTCCCAGGACCCCGCTGAAAAAATACATATGAGATACCTCCGCGTACCGACTCGACTTACTTTGAATTTACTTACAGAAATCCTTGAATCAGATTGAGCTATGGCATTTCTTTCTTCAGGCGGTAACTCACATATGCCATCATATTCCAGAAGTCAAGGTACTGGTCCATTTCCTTGACTTGTAATTTATGATAGTTGTCGGGGCCACAGGGAGCGGCGATCTGAACGAATGACGAAGGTCAAAACATGAGTCATGTTACTGATAAAACCATACAGTCAGCAGGAACTTGTAGTCGGCACCCTTGGCTCTTGCATGTTCGTCCAGGCCATGCCTCAATTCCCTGAGTAGCTCTACATATCCTACAGCTTGAGCATGGTCTGAGGGATACTCGTAGTCCACATCCAGGCCGTCTAGTCCCATGTCCTTTGTCATCGAACTACTGAGTGGACTCAACGGGAAGGCATGGAATCACTAACCTCAAGGAGTTTAATCGACGATCGTACAAAGTTGGCCCGCAAGGCAGGTGAGATAACAATCGGATGGAACTGGGGACTGCGCAAAAAGAAAATCAACCGACACGAAGTTATACATGGGGCTGAAAGTCGAACAAACCTATAGGTCCAGCCCCCAATGCTTAAAAGAACCTTGAGATGACGGTTTTGTTTCTTCAGATTATACAGTGCTTTGAAATTGCCTAAGAACGTGGGGTCCATCGCAAGGAATTTCGAGCGGCAGGGTGAGCGCACCATACAGATTGTCTCCACTGTCATTCCAGGAGTCTCCCGGATAATGAATGTCCTTGTCTGCCCATTCGTCCGATAGAAACACCTCCCCTGTGTCTGCCTTGAGGTTCGCAAAAGCATACAGAATGTGTGTAAGGTCGTGAGGGATCAGAGACGGCGGAAACTTTCGGCCGTATATTCCCCAGTTCACAAAGCTCTCGGAAAGTCAATTCGAGGACTAGGTTCGCATGGAGAGCACACACTAGCCGACAGTGTATTTTCCGGGTGTCATGTCCGCCAACTTGGTTTGAGATCCCTGAAATATCAACGCCGTAAGAGAGATACCAACGGGTTGTTTCAGCCAGGAGAAGAAGAGAAGAGCTGTGAGGAAAAAGAACGCTGTTGGGATAAGGAGCCGACGAAGTTCTGAATGCTTTCTTGGTGGTTGTGGTGAAGTGGGCATGCGACGTCATTTGCGTTGATGCAGAGATGTCTCCATCCCAAGTTCCCACGGGCACGTTCACTCCGACATATGCAGTGGCGATCTTGGGGTATCGGTCTCTCATGCATGTTTGTGCATTCAAGATTCATTAGAGGGACACTGTGCAAAATGTCCATGTCCCCTGCTCTACTAGTGATACAATAGATTATAGTTTACGAGCACTCCTTGAGGAATGATGACTTGGGCCAAGGTTGGTGGAAGTCGTCCGACCTAACGATCGCTGTTAGCCCAAATTTGCGCAAACTTGCCACCCGCACCATGTCGTCAAATTTGGCGAGCTGTAGGCTTCGATATATCTATCTCAACGTCAGGAAAAATGTAAAGAGGAAATGCAAAGATGGCATCCGAGCAGAACCCACGTATTTATATAATCAGATGTTGGGAAATCTGGAGGATTACATCCTATATTTATGGCACTTTTTGGTTGGTACACGCGAATATAGTCAATTGCAAGATGGCAAGGCTAGATGACATTCGTCAGCACAAATTCTCTCATATTGAATGACAATGGGAATCACAAATGGGAGATGTGCCGTATCCACGGGTCCAACTGGAAGGGGATTCAGGTCAAACCGCAAAAGAGAACCACTCTTTTCTCACAATTGGTACTCATGCCAAGATTTGCTATTATATACTGCAGGTAAACAGTGTCAGTGCATTACGGCAAGTATTTTCATAGGGCAATACCATTGGTTCTTGTGGAACGGACCGCGCAGATATGCTAACGGACGGATCGGCAGCCAGACCACCGGACCTTATCGTCCAAGCGACCTTACCCCCAGAAATCCAGGTTATGTACGCTCCTAAATTGGGCTTTAGATTCCAAAAAGCCGGCTAGTTGCGTTGTAAATACTACGATCGACTTAGATGCACGCTGAACCTGAGAAAAATGGGACACTAACCGCACCATCGAAGCCAGGTTTATACTATCAACGCCGCTTGGAATCCTGAAAGACTTGGCATAGAATGTACGACTCACCTCAAAACCATAGACCGAAAAGCAGCCACCATTTTGTTCGTAGCAAGCGGGATCTGTGGCAGTAACCACCGATGTTGCCTGCTGGGTCACGCTTCCCGTAAAGGTGTTGAGTTGAGAGATTGTGGGATCCGTGATCTGGAGGTTTTCAGAGGAATTGAACCACTCGTACGCCTATGTATTCATATATGAGCTTCGTTGCTTGAGATTGACGGAAACAAACCGCATTAAACGGCGCCCATTGAGCGCTTTGTGAAACCTCCGCCACAAGTTTTGAGTTGATCTGAAAAATTTAGTCAATAAGAAGACATCGACGAAAAAATACCGACCTGAGCCTCGAATACATCGATTTCGGGCGCTGCACGTCCAACAAAGGTACCGTCAGAATGTTTTGGGCCGGGATGGCTCTCTCCGGGACAGGTGCAACGAGAAAGCTTTTGCCCCGGCAGCCAGGAGAGCGCTCCGCCTTTGCCTTTATCACCGTTGATTGTGGCTGCCAGAGGTTCGCCATCGTGTGTTTGATTTTGAGCGGTGCCCACGTCGCATTCATCTCCCGGCTTATGAGTTGAAGGCAAAGTTAAGTGGATCAAAGTGCGTACCGTAAGTGTATGGCCACATTCCTTCCAGACTTGCACCGTAGCCTGCACGGCCCAGATTTCCCATAGTCCACACCTACAAACGAGGAACTTGTAAGCTAGAGGGTATTATGCGGGCCGTTTACTTGCAGCAGGCCAGAGTCCCAAGATATTGTTGGCTCCAGGAAGCCGCACGAGGGTCTGGGTAGCTGGTAAGAATTTGCAAGGGCCAACAGATATTTGATACGCACTTCGATATATCCACCAGTGAAACAAAATTTATTCCTAAAATCATAAGAAGCGGTCCCGCTCCATCGAATTACTGCTCACCAGCTAGAAAGTAAGCCTGGAATGATGATTTTGTTTTTGACAAATGTTGGAATGCGAATAATCGAAGTCCACTCACCTCCTTCAAAGTGTAGATCGTGGGTTTCT